TGTCGGGGAAGGAGAGAGCGGGATGCAGCAGGGCTGTTTGGGGAGAGCTGGGCGCGTGGGGGATTTGGTGAGGGGAGCGCAGCGTGCGTGGGGGGGGTCGTGGGTGGGGAGCGGGGTGTTTTGGGGGAGAATGGGGTGCATGGCGGGGGGGTGACTGGTAGGGGAGAGAGCGGGCTGCGCCTCTCGCCACGGAGAGGATCTGTGTGCTGAGGAAGGACGCGTGGGGCTGGGGAGGGGGCCTGCAGGGATGAGGAAGAGGAGGCGGTGGAGGAGGAAATGCGTCGTGGGCTGCGGTGGGTGGGTGTGCGTGGAGGGGCACGGCTGCAGGCTGGCTTCCTGGGGCAGGGGTCTCTGTACCGGCTTCTGTGGCTGGAGGGGTGGCCCTGTCCTCCTGGCACCCTTGCAGGGAGGTGGGCCAGGGCCCCCCCCCCCCCCCAAACCAACCCAGGGCTGGGGCCTCTGCCCTGTGGAAAACCCAGAGAAACTGTCTTGGGCCGCGGTGTGTACCCAGCTGATTTCCCCATAGCGCCTGACCGGGGCGTGCTGTGGGCTGGGAGAAGGCTCCGCTTGTCTAAAATGGCCACCTGCCTTATGAGCCAGGGTTGGCCCCGGTGCTGAGCACCTCAGGGCTCCCCGGAGCAGCCCTTCGGCCAGCCAGCTCTGCTCCCGGATCTGCTGCTTGCTCTCCTGGGCCCCAGGGACTGGGACAGGCAGAGCTGGAGACAGTTAATCAGGCCGCAGCATCTGTGGGGCGGCCCGGGGATGCCAGCGTGCTGAGGTGGAGCAGCGCGTGCCACGGGCTGTCCCGGCCGGTGCACCTGGCTCTCTGCACAGCGAGGATGGGGCAGGATGTGGCCCACCTCGTCTCCCAGCTGGATGCTCCGGCAGTTAGCAAAAAGTGTTCCTCGATGAGCCATCTGTGGTATAAACTGCAGATGTAGGACCCGCGGCACATATAGGAGCCACGCTCACCTTCCAGAGCAGATCCGTTCTTCTCCCGTGTGGGGCAGAGCAGACCTGGTGGGTCACTAAAGCCACTGTTAGGGCCGTGGGGCTGCCTCCCCGGTCCCAGCCTCTGCCTGCAAGCAGCCACGAGGTTGGGGTGTTGGCCGAAGCCCCCCGTTCTGGCACATGTTTCCTCGCCGTCTTACAAGTGGGCCGCCTGCCTCGTACAGGTGATGGGGGAGCGGGCTCCAGGCAGTTGATATTTGCTGCGTTTTCATACCTGTTGCTCGGGAAGTGGAACAGAGTCCTTGAACGCTCCTCTGTCGCGTGGTGTGTGCGCTGGAGGGGCTGTTCCAAGGGCACCTGTGCTCCCCCATCCCTCCAGGTTACTTGGCAAGCTGGTACCTGCAAAAACGGGTTTTACACCTGAGTGCCTTGCATTCAGCAGGCGGGTTTGCTTGCGTTCCAGTAGAGAGATCTCTTAAGCCATGCGTTTTTGCACTCTCTGAGCAGCACGTGCTGTGTCTGTGGACTCGCTGGATGTTGTTCTGATCCCTGCAGGTTGACACTCTGAACGAGGCCATCTTCCCACGCAGCAATGGCACCCACGCTTGCTACCGCCCATCGCCGGCGCTGGTGGATGGCATTCACAGCCATCATTGAGAACCTGCTCTTCTCTGCTGTCCTGCTGGGCTGGGGGTCCCTCCTCATCATGCTGAAGGCAGAAGGGTTTTATTCCTACCTGTGCCACGAGTCAGGTAAGGATGCTCTGGAGGCTTGCGTGAATAAGTTGCTGCTGAGGTTTGCTGGTGTGGTTCCCTGTCTTAAGGTGGTGTGGAACTGGCTAGAGTAGGGCTGAGCTCCAGGCCAGTCCTGGGGTAGAAGGAAGGGATGTGCACACCTTTCCAAAACCGATGGCATCCTTGTGGTGGTGTAGTGTGCCTGTAGTTGCGGTCGCTTTGCAGAGCGATTGGAAAAGAAGCCTTAAAGATTGGGTAAAGCTTTTCTTGACAGCCATTTCCACTTGGCCATGAATTTTTCCTCTGCGTGGTGGCCTGGCTGATCTCTGCAAGGGAAGGCCCGATGCGTTCTCAAAGATGACAATTTGTGGGGAGGGTGTCCTGAGTTTGTAGGAGGAAACTACAGGCACCCTTTCCTTAGTGGCAGGAGAGAAAAGAGCGTGGGTGACTATAAGGTTAGAGGAGTCTAGTGCTGCTGTTGAGGACAAGTTGCAGATGCAACTTGTAGCGTTGTAAATGCTATTGTAAATGCTACTGACGTTTTGTTCCTCTTCCTCGTCAGACACGCAGGATGTGCTCAAATGAGGCTGTGTCTCTATGAGGGCTCGAGATCTACCTTCTGGCCCAGCCAGAGGAAGCAGCTGGCCATGTTGCAGACACAGCCTTGCAGGGAAGGAGGCAATCTTGTGGAGTGGGAAGGATAACCCTGGGAAAAACAAGGTGTAGGTGGACATATATCCCCAGCCTAGGCATGGAGAGAATTTTGGTCTGGGGAGTCCCACAGTGTGGTAGGGTGGACAGTGGGGTTAAAGGAACCTAAGGGTAAAGGTGTGGTATGGATTTGGAAAGCTGGTTTAGCGACAGAAGGTTTGCACGTGCTCAGAGGAGGGAATAGCAGAGTGAAGAGAAGCAGGAGCTAGGTGTTTGGGCTCTGTCCAGCGATGTGTGATGGTGGATGAGATGAGAAGGTGGATCAGCCCATTCAGGGCTGGGGAGCATGGGGATGGAGGAGGAAGCAGTAGGGGAAGAAAGGAGCTGGAAATAAGTGCATGAACCCTCAGTGGGTAATGGCTGAGAATAGTGGGGGAATTCTGAAATGTGGGGAAACAAAGTCCAAGCAAAAAGTGACTGTGAATAGTTGTGATGATACTTTATTTTTTCCTCTCATTCATCAGCTGCTTGTTACGGTCTTTTCTTCTGCTTTGGGTGCCTGTGGGTGGCTGCCTCAGTCCTGTGCAGCCTGAGTTGGTACACCTGGCAAACATGTATGTGTTTGCGTCTTCTACCAGCTGTAGCTCGGCTGCTTTATCTCCATCCTGTGCTCTGCTTGAGGTGCGATGCTTCCAAGTGTGTCTGTGTCACTTGGGTCTCCGGTAGTGCTCCAGACTGTGTGAAGGAGAGTCCCCAGCAGCTGGGGACCATTTAGGACTTCTGTTCAAGGTTGCTCTGTTCTCATCAAGCCATGGTGACTTTGTCACAGGCCTGTGTAAGGAATCTCATTAAACCTATCGGGTGGAGGCTTTCTGCCACTGAGATAAAGCATGAGAGTTGATAAGCAAATGCTGACTGTCTCTGAAAGCAGCCATTTTCCTATCTGCTTCCTGAGATGTGTCCTGCTGACAAGAGCCTGGCTTCACTTGGGGCCCACCTCCTACTCTTTGCTTTGATTGCTTTCAATTCATCCGCCTTTGCCCCAAATCAGCGAGATTCACCTTGGCTTCTCACCCATGTTTGCCAGTCTGTGGTTTTTCTGGCTCTCCCCATGGGAGTGCCGGTGCCACAGACCGCAGGGAAGCTGCAAATGTTTGGACTGTGGTGAAATTGCTGCCCTGGGGGCAATTTCTTCCTCCCAGAGACCAACCTGTGCCCTGAGGCAAGAGAACTTAATCCCTGAAAAGAAATTTATGTAGTCAAATGTTCTCATTGTCCTCAAATACCTGGCCATCACTGCTGAACTCAGTGATGGCTTGTGATGAGCATGGAGGACCAGTTATGCTGGTTTCCTAGGTCATCCATGTTTACTCATTTTCCTTTCTCTGTTTTTGTCCTCATTGTAATAATCTCAGTGATTTGGTAGGGAAGAGTCCTAGCTCCAAGTGTGGGGAGAGCAGACTCCCTTGCAGCTGCCTTGCAGTGCTCACTGAATGACCGGCACCAAGCTGAGTTTGACCTTTGCTGGGATTAGGATGACCCAGTGGTTGCCTTTCTCAGCATAACCTATTGAATCCTGCAGCCTTAGTGGGTACTTGGCTGGAAGGTTGGTGCAAACAAATTATAACTGTAGCCTTTGGGCACTTGTTCCTAATGCTGCTGTGTGCATGTAAGTATTACAAAAAAAAGACTTTTACTAATGAGCCAAAGGTTCTTGGCAGGGCTTTTCGTTTGTCAGCAAAAGCTCTTGCACTTTGTGATGCCTTCCAATGAAAGAGAAAACTAGACCTTGTCCCTTCTGCAGGCTCTTCTCTGAAGGTAGCAGCAGCTGCCCAGAAAGTGACTGCAATTCATGAGGGGCTCCTTGTCTTCCTGTTGAATCCCCTCCCCTTTCCCTGCTTGCCCTTCCTTTCTGGTATTGGTTTTTACTCTGCCACCGTGCAAACATGTGGGGTCCGCTGGACTCAACTCGGTTGCATGAGGGTGGAGATGGACACCTAGAAAAAAATCCACATCAAAATAACAAATATTTTCAACACAGTTGTGCAACAGGGTTTGAGTGGGGGGTTGTACCTGTTCTGGGTGGCAGGTTTGGCCACATCCTGAGAGGTATGTTTGAAATTTGCTGACAAGGAGTCTGGTAGTGGCACTTTGTTCCCATTTGAATTTTACTACACTACTACTTGGCCTTTAACCAACTGAAGCAGCATCTTTTATTCTGTGCAAGTGCTGATTCTGCAGTCTTTATCAGGATTCAGGCCTTATCGGCTGTTGGGGAACTTGATCTGTTCAGGGTCTAGTGTTGCTGTGATGTTACTGGGATTAGGAAGCTTGAGGCTTGGGTCCGAGATGCTTAAAAAACCAAACTTGAACATGCTTAAACTGTTCACAAAGAGCAGAGATAAGGAGCTAGTTGGACAGAGGGCCTTCCTCTAAGACAGGGCTGCAGAAAACCAAAGGGATGATATGCTAATTCACTTACGGCAGGTTAATGCGCCTTAACACAGGCATGGGGGAAGGTGCTGCCTTACAACCCTTTGTTCTTATTTATTAGGGGTCTGTGGTGGGGAACTTGCAGTCTGAAGGTCCCTTCTAAGCTGGTAAGATGTGATGATGGCTTGTGGAAAGGCTGCACACGTGACCCTGTAAACAGGAAAAGAGTAAATGTGGTAAAAGTTCAATTTCTACAGGAAACATGCTGTGTTGATTAGCAGCTGTTGGTAGTATCAGAGAGCTGCATGGGAAGGTGCTGGCCCGGGGCAGAAGTGCTGCAAAATGAGCAGCTGGGGAGAGAATGGGAGTTTAACTGGAGACTGTGCCTCTGTTATATGAGGCTTTCAGCTGGGTCCCCAGAGGGGGGGTCCTGGAAGTGCAAGTGGATGGACTGGCAGAGAGGGGAAGCCCAAATAAATTGCATTTGCAGTGGTATAAAGCAAGAACATCTCCTCCCAGTTCCCAGAAGTATGACACCATCCTGAAAAGAGAAAACATGTTCTTATGTGGGCAGACTGCAGATCAGTTGTTTGCACATGTCTTTCACTGTTGGTTTTTTTTTTTTTTTAAACCAATGCTCCCAGACTCTTTGGCCCTGATTTCTTTTTTTCCTGTCCCCCGCCTTTTTATGAAAGAAAAAAAAAAAAAAAAGAGGAAAGTGAGGCTGAGCAGGCTGTGTACCACAGAGCTATTGCCAGGGTGGCTGGGGTGTCTTGCCTGCTTGGCTCAGTCTGATCCATGAAACAAGATGAAAGGAAACCTCCTCTCTGCGGTCTCAGATGGCAATCACTCTTGAAAAAGCCAGACTCATTCCTCTGGTAACGTGGTGTGTGCCTGGGATTTGAAGAGGTCAGCAAAGAGTAGTTAATGATTGACCCTCTCATGAAACCTACAGCACTTAATTTGGGAGAAAGGATGACTTTAAATGTTCCAGTAACAGCCTGAACAAACCCCAGCGATGAGCTTGACATAAATGATTACTGAGCCAGCCTTCCTCTCACCTAAGCTGTCATTCTTTAAATAGTAACTTGAACTACTAATTGGGCAGTAGAAATCCTGCTGCTTGTAGGGGGAGTGCTGTAAAAATAAGCAGTAAGTTCTTGTAATTGCTGATAAAGACTTGCAGCTTCTTCTAGCTTGACAGTGAGACAGCGGTGAGCATACATGGACAGAGCCTGTGCTGCTGGCTTACCCAGGTGGCACTCCCGTGCGTCAGACCTGGCATGCTTGCATGCAGGTAGACTTGGCAGGAGAATCTGGGGAGGGCACCACTGTCAGCCCAGAGACAGCCCTTCCCCAAAGCACTGTTGCAGATGGAGCCAGCCACGTAGGAGACTTTCCCCAGCAGTGTGGCATGGACTGATCTGGAACAGGATCTGAGCTGTGATTGAGGGAAACTGCTGTTTGCTGTAACCAGGTGCATTAGGTAGGTGAGTAGTTAGGCAGGTTCTCTGCCCATTAATCTCCTCCTAGCTGCATGTCATATGCTGCCACTTGCTTTCCTGTGCTGGTGACCTGCTGGCACATGAATCTGTGCTCCCCAATGAGACAGCTCTTGGCTGGACCTTGTGCATGCTGCACACACCTGCAGCCCCTCTGAAATGTTCTATTTGTGGAGGTGGCTCAAAGGATCAGAGGATGTCAGGGTGCCAAGAGCTGCTTGATTCATTTCCATTACGCCTCAGTGGATCTTCTCTTGTTGCTCAGGGGCTGCTTCTATTTTCACAAACAATTTGTATTTCCACATAGTGCTGTTGCCTGGCCCCTCCTTGGAGCTGGGGTTGAGCAGCTGTAAACAAGGTGGTTGGTACAAGCAGGGACTGAAGCTTGGTGCCCTGTTCCCAGCCTTCCTGGCTGCAGCAAGTCTTCAGAGAGGGCCAAGTTTCCTTGCTGTTTCTGAGCTGTGTCCTCTTTGCCTCCTGGTGTTGTGGCTCATCGTGCATGCCGTCGGAGGGTCTGCTAGCAGGGGTATGCTGTGGGAGCTCCTTGGGGTCACGTTGCAACTGTACACATCAGTACATTAACAGTAATTCGTCTATTCTGGCTTGAAATGCTCAATACTTCTGTTTTGAGATCTCTTCGTGGGGAGGGTTGACAGGGTCTTTTAACGCGTGCAGCCAGAAGTTACAAGGTCACTGCACTGTCCATGTCCCTCCACCCTTCTTCCACTCCACAGCTGAGCTATCTCTACAGAGTGCTGACACAGGGAAACCACTACTACTTTGTCACTCTTCTCCCTTCCCACCCGCCCACCCCCCCCTTGTTTTCCTGAGTTTAACCTCTCGCCTACATCTGTTTCCTATGAATGTATCTTTGTAGAGAGCCCAAAAAGCCTTGATGCTGTGGGTGAAGCTGTGTGCCTGTGCCTGCCTCATGGAGATGCTGTCAGAAGTCAGTGTTTAAGGTCTTGGGCCACACCAAGAGGAGATTGTGAGGGAAGGATAGATGAAAAAGATTGAGAAGTAGTGTGAAAACTGCAGAGAGCCTCCCAAGTGTGTCCAGGACTGACTTCTAAGGATGTGACTTGGGAGCCTCAAGCTGGAGTGCTGTCCTCCTGCAGAAGGGATGCTGATGGGACATGTGGTCTTTTGGGGATATCGCTGTTGCTTACTCTGGCTATCTGTGACTAGCAGGGCAAGAGAAGGGACAGATTAAGTTATCCGTCAAGAGCACATGGCAGAGGGAAGGAACAAACAGTCATCACTGCTCACAGGTGGTTTAAGGCCATCTTAGTAAAGGTGTTTTTGAGAGCAATGTAAATGGAGAGCAATGCTGTGCACCTTCCCTGGAGTGCTGCAAGGGGACAGAGGAAGGTTTGCAGGCAGCTCATAAGCCTCAGATATCAGCATCTGAATTCCTGCTAATACCTGATGTCTGGAAGTTGGAGCGTGATTTGTTTGCAATGGACACAAAGCTGGGAGGGTTGTTTTGGCCAGCTAGGATAACCAGGGTGAAACCTGTAACTGTAATGGTGCTGAGGCTTGGGTAGAAGGGAAGGAGTTGCAAGACGGGGCTGTGTGATCTCCAGAGATGCAGAGAGGGCAAGAGCGGCCAAGGGGATCTCCTCCACAAGCCACACTAAGCAGTGAATGTGAAGTCACTTGTATGTGAGGGATTCCTGCTAATTAACTAACTAACCAGGGCTCACTGGGAATGTCTAGTCTTGCTTCATGCAGATGGTTATGTGCGTGACTTCTCTATTCCTCCTTTAATATTGAACTTTGTCAGATCAATTATTAAATATGGAGGAGAGCATTTTTTGTCACTGGCTTGCAGCAGCAGTAAGAAAGCAAGTGCTGCGTCATACCAGCAAAGGTTACTTCTAAGTCAGATAAGCATTGGGAGGGGGAGTGGTGGAGTGTGCTAGAGCTCTGGGTTAATGAAAGTCTAAAGGCACACGTGCTCGCTTGAGGAGTTGTAAGCCACCTTAGGACAGGCTTGTAACAGGAGCAGGGTTGACATAAGACAATAATACTGCTGCTGCAAAGAAAAGGGAACTTCTTTTTTATTTTTTAAACTGTCCTGTTTGTGTCTCTTACACAACGTGGGCTCTGTTCAGCGTGGGAGTTTGCGTGCGGAGTTCCTCATGTAGGGGCAAGAACAGAAAGCTGGAGATATAATTGACCTGTATGGCCAAAACCCACTTGGAAAGAATAGAAAATGCTAATTACGGGGCAGAAGTTAAACATACATCAATCCTTTAACAAATCGAGAAGGCAGGTGAGCTGCCAGCCTTCCTGGGAACGGGGTAGTTAAATCCAGGAAGGATTTTTCAGAGCCAGGGTAGTCAGGAAGCAGGGTGGCTACTCCAAAGCCATTCCTCATCCCAATGCCCGTAGTGAGGGTAGGAAGCTTTTTGTCTGAGCACGCTGTTGCTCTGTGCCAGGCCTTGTCAGCCCAGTGTCTGGACCTGAAATAACTGATTTGGCTGTAGTTATTGCTCCCAGTTTAGTTAGGGAAAAGATCTGTGAGAACATGCCAGTTGTAGATTAGGAGGACCTTATTTTTGTATTAGTGCTTAAGGGTCTGCTGGGTTTAGTCCCCTGTAATTGCCAGGCCCTTGCTGTATAGTTGTTTTCATAAAGTAATGAATCTCTGTCCCTAGGTTGTTACCCTGCTGCTGCTTGGGATACTTGTCCCCTGGGCACCTGCGCATCCTTTTCCTGCTCCCAGCTGAGCTCATCAGGTTGCCCTTGTCCTTCTGCTGCTCTTCTTTCCCTTCTCCATTTCTCACTGATTATAATAAAAAATAGAGTGTGGAGGGTGTATGCCCAGTGTGTTGTGGCACCCTGTGTGCGGGGTTTTCTCTTCCCTCCTTCCTGCAATGCTGCAAGCCTCATCCTAACACACTGTAATGATGATCCTCTATCATCCCGTGTAGAAAACACCACCAGTAGTCCTGAACACAAGAACAGCACAGCTCCAGAGCACAAATGGCCTTCCTGCAACGCCCAGGATGAAATGCTGAATTTGGCCTTTACCGTTGGGTCCTTCCTGCTCAGTGCGATCACGCTGCCCCTAGGAATTGTCATGGACAAGTACGGCCCTCGCAAGCTGCGGCTGCTTGGCAGGTTGGTGTCCTGGGCTCCCCGGGTGGGCTGAGGGACAAATTCCCACCTTGTCTGGGGCAGATGGGTGCTCTGCCTGTTGTGGGGTCCCTGCAGCCTTGGGAACTGTATGAGGAACGGGGCTGGGATGTGCTGGGAGCTGCTGCCCATGCACAGGGCACTGGAGCAGCTCTGGGATGATTTCAGCCAGCACAGCGAATTGCTCCATAAGGGAAGGGCCTGGGACTCCATGTCCACACTTCAGCTCTCCAGTGTTGTTCTGTGCTCCCTGGCCAGATGGAGCCTGAAGGAAGAGTGGAGTCATTTCTGAGTCAGGGAGGGTAGCTTTTTCCTTGAGCTGGGAGCTATGTCCCGAGAGGCACAAACCCAAGATGTTACATCATCGTTTGCAAGCTGGGGAGTTAACTCGGGGATAAACACGTCCTGCCTGCCTCTTCTAGGGCCCTTCTTTGCCATGTGGCATATGTCGCTTTCTGCCTCAAATTGCAAGGTCGTTAGCTGCTTCTATCATGGCATGTAGGGATTAGTGACTTGTTGGGCACAGCAGACCCCAGCGCTGCTGAATTTTAATGCACTGAACCATACCAGAAACCAAACCGGCCTGTAGGCAGAGTGGGAAAACCAGGGGAAGTCTCTGTGACCATACCAGAGAGGAGCAGGTAAAGGCTGTGAGTGCTGTGACCACAGCTGGGTCTCAGGACAAAGGTTGCTGCTGTCTTTGGTCACCTTGAGGTGAGGGCTGGCAAAGCTCTGTGCTGGAAAACTGGTAGGGAATTTAGGTCCAGCAAGAGCTGCGTCAGTACTGGGAGGAAAGGTTGCTGCCTCAGCCCTTGCGCAAGGTTTATCTGCAATATTTGGGTATTTCCCTGGATTTTTCTTTCCAAATTGCCAGCTTCCCTCCCGCTTGCAGAAATGACACTGCGCTTGCTTAACAAGGTGCTGAGGAGGTAGAAGCATATGTAATTTAATGCGTGTGAGGCTGTATGTAAGAAACTCACAGTTTTGGTTCCCTTTCAGTGCCTGCTTTGCTGTGTCCTGTGTGCTGATTGCGTACGGTGCCAGTAACCCAGACTGTAAGTAGGCATTTCTCTGCTGAGCTGGGAGGGCTTTGGGGCTGTGGTTTGGGTTTTTTTTGGGGGGAAGCAGACAAGCGTGCATGGCACTGCGTGCTCTGACTGTCACACCTCCAGTCTGTCATACCTCCAGTGCTGTACTGGGGTCTTGCTGAGGACACAAGCCAAGCGTCTGCTGGCCTGTGGGAGCTAAGTGGCTCTGGGGAGGGCTGGTGTTTCACAACCCTAAGTGGAGAGCGTTGCAAGGGCCAAACATCTGAGATAGCCAGGTCTCTCAGCTTTGCGTTTGGGCAGGGCCAGGTCCTGTAACGGAGCAATTCCAAACAAGTTCATGGCTTTTTCACGGTTGGGAAATAGGTAGTAGCACACGATGTGTAATCAGCTTTCACACCAGGGATAGATGGAGCTTGCTCATCAAGACCAGGTAGTGAGGTGACACTTTAAATCCAGTTCTTTCAAGTAAATCTTCCTTTTAAGATCCATTCAGACAAGCTGCATCAGCAAGTCTGTTCATTAGAGAAAAGAAACCCTTCCATCCTGGAAAGAGATGATCCCATCCTGAACTCTGTCTTGGAGGAGAGCCCTGGTCCTCCTGCTCTGTGTGGCTGGGGAGACAGGTGCTGGGTCAGGAACAGTGTGGCATGTCCTGATGGTGTTGATCCACTGAGGTTTTTACGTGTCAGGACCAAAGCGCTCAGGGCTCTGTCTTCTTTCCCCCTGCACCCCAGTAAAAGCTAAGGGTGTTTTTTATTGTTGCAGCTCTGTCTGTGCTGATATTCATTGCGCTGGCTCTGAATGGCTTTGGTGGGATGTGCATGACCTTCACATCGCTTACGGTAAGTGAAGAGTTATTACCTGACTCTATTTTATTTTTTTACTATGGCTGTGAGCTGGGCTAGCAGGAAAGAACAAAGTGGATCTTTTGCCTGTGGCTTGAATAGCATGGGTTTTGTTTGGTACAAAGGGTCAGTCACCGTTTTACCTGAAAGGCTGAATACTAGGTGGTTATTCTAAGGCTTTTTTTTCCCCCCAGTCATTTGGGTTTTTTGGGGGTGGTTTTGTTTGTTTGTTTGTTTTTTTTTTACCTGCCCCTTGCATCTCAGTTGAAGGTGGGGGGAAAAAAGGAATTGGTTTTGTCTAGGACTCAAATTGTCATACGCCTGTACGTGCCGTGCTAAGCTACCTGGCACAGGCTGGACATGTTTGCACTGGGTTTAGCATTGACATAACTGCAGGAAGAATCAGCAGCGCACAAACCCTTGCAGCTGGGTATGACCAGCTCTACGCAAACGCAGTTTGCATCTCGCCCCAGGAAAATGGTTGTTCTTGAGCACAGAAGCTTTTGCTTTCAGAAGGGTGAGAGTCTCTTCCAGGTTTCCTTAGAAATGCTGCGTTGCTGAATGTACCCAGCTCCATCTGTGCAGCCTGCTTAGATCTGTTTAGTCCGTGGATTATATTGCAAGTGTTGGTCAACAACTGTCAGCTGGATCCCTACATTTTAGGGTTCTTTTTCCTGGAGACAGAAGCAGTACCGTCCTCCAAGTAGCTGCTTTATTTTCTACCTCATTACCCTGATCCTTGTCAGTGTGGCTGAAACAGGGCTGGGTGGAAGGTTTCCCAGAAAACAGTCTGGGAAGCACTGATGTTTCTTGAGCTGTGGCTGAAAACTTTCAGATTTGGACTGCATTACCTTGAACTTGCTGTTGCAGTAAAACTTTCTGTTAAGGTTACCTCTAATTTCACAAGGCTTTAGACACTGGCTGAACAAGGCTCAGACATTGGTTAAACTCCTGAGACCTAAATTTGGCAGAGGCTGGGTTTACAGATCAGTGTGTGTACTGTGATGTTGCTGCTGCTGTTGCTTTCATATATTCAAAGCTTTCAAAACTCTGTGCCGATGTTGGTGTCTCCTTCATATGTAGTGTTCTTCACTGGAAGCCTTGGCCTTGGTCCCAAAGAACTATGGGGCAAATGTCATCCTGCCACGCTTCAAATAAAAGCGAGGAAGAGAGGAGTACATAGTACTGCTGTGGGACAGGAGAGGATTCCCATCCTGCTGCTGCCAGCATTGGTTATTATCTCTCTGGGTGGTTATTAAGGGGTCACAGATTATTTTAGAGCCACTGGTGATGATAGGAGGGAGAGCAAGGATAGGACAGAAATGTGTTGGATGTGCTGTACTGTGGCTTTTAGCACCAGAAGAAGTAAGCAAAGCCACTTACTAGTGCCCTCATTAGTGAGCCAGTTCCGCAGCACTAAGGAAGTACAGTGGCAGGAAAAAGGTCAATTCTTCCAAGAAGAGATTCAAGCCTTGAGGAGGTCTGAAGCAAGTAGTGATGCTGTGAGTTCACACAGGGAGACCTCAGGTGGAGCCCATCCCCTCCAGACAGCAGTGTGTTTTGTAAAGAGCTGAGGCAGCTTCAGGCCCGACTTCTCAAATCCAGATTCAGATGTAGCTGCTTGTGCCTCCCTGCAGAGCTGCACAGAGGCATTTTGGTACCTGAGGCATGAGAATGTGATTAAAAATAGTCTGAAGTGGGAGGGAAGCACTTCCTCACCTGCATCACAGCGTAGCTGTGGTGGTGACTGTTAGAAGCAGGTGTATCTTACTCATTGGCAGCTTACTGTTTGTCCCTGTGGTTCTGCCTGCCAGCTGGGTGCTCACAGTTGGTGTGTCAAGAACTATCTTCTGCGGTGATGTGGTGATCTCTTGTGGGTCCCTTCCACCTGTGGCCCATGGAGACAGGGAGTGTGGCAAGGGAGGGACATGGGGATGACAAGTCTGTGGCTTGTGGGCTCTAGGCAGTGTGGCTCGCATGCACCGTGCCGTGCATCGTGCTCAAGAGAGGATGAAGCAAGCGCTGAAAGGGGAGGCTCAAAGGCCTTTTTAAGGATGTTCGTTACACAGAGGCGGTGAGCTCTAATCAACTTCTGGTGCCAAGTAAGCTCGTTCTGGCTGACACAGGCACGGGCTGCCGAGCGTGCACGTGCACACACAAGACAAAGCAAGGTGACTTCCTTCTCCTGCCAGCTGCGAGTGACCTGAAGCGCTCCAGGAAATGGGTCAAACCCTCTGGTGCATGAGCTGGTCCTCTGCCACCCCAGGCGAGTTACGGTTGCTGCTTCGTAGCAGGGTGGCCATGAAGGGAGCCCCTGCAGTGTGTGGGGTCGGGATGCTCCTCAGATGCTGCAGCCTGTGGGGCCTCGTTGGCTGCTGAAACCTCCCGGGACACTTGCTGCATGGGCATGGTGTGATCTGATGGGAGGGCAGGAGATGCGGATCCTCAGTGCCTGTGCAAGGGATAAACAGGATCTCCGAGGACTGCAGCCTGGGACAGTGCTCCATGAAGCTTTGCCTCTTGGGTTTAAAGCCTTTTGCAGTAACAAGTCCCCAGGGTATCATGAAAGCACATGGCAAGCTGCAGAGCCATGGCAAGCCGCCGTTCCTGGGTGTCTTGCGTTGTGGCTTGGGGAGGAGGGGGAGCGAGTGAGCGGTGCTCTTCCCGGTTCTGGGAACAAGGTCAGACTGTGCCTGTTGTTAAAATGCAGAGGGGAGATTTCTGCCTCGTGACTTGGTCTTAGCCAATATAAGTGAAGATTGGAAATGGAAACAGATCTGTGTTGGTGGCTCTGACAGCAACACAGGAATCTGGCGCTGGTTCTGCTCCGACGCTATTTCATGCAAAGAAATAAACATGTGTGATAAATTACCACAAAGAGCCTTTTATAGATTGTTTTCTGTCCTGTTTTCCTTTCAAAGAATTACAGCTGCTTTGCTCTTATTTTCTGCTACAAACACCACCCTTTAATTGGAGCAGGGGGACATCTCTGTGTAGGGAATCTTCTCTGCTCGGATTTACCAGGAAAACTTAGGGCTCTGTGATCTTTTGTTGCAGAATAGGAACAGGAATTTCCATATGCTTTGGACAAAGTGGGCAGTTTGAGGCTTTCCTGGAGAACATATTTTTAGTATCTGTATAACTTCCAAATATACCTCTGATAGGGAAAACAAAATTTAGCTTGAACAAAAATACCATTCTCCAGCAGTCTAGTTCTCCATCCCTTGACTTTTTCCACTGTTCTTTCAAATAGTCCTTGCAAGAGGAGGGAAATTGGGTTTGGTAAGACTACTGTGGTATCTTTTGTGGTATCTAAGGAAGCTGAAAAATTATAAAAAAATGATCAAAGGTCTTAAACCCACCATAAGGCAGATGGGATAATAATCTGAAAGAAGAAATTATTTTATCAGTTTAGGATTGAATACCTGTAAAAAAGGACTCCAGAAAAAAACAGTTATGGTATGGCAAAATTAAGTTAGTATCTTTCAGATGGGGTATAGAGTTAATAAAATATTGAGTATTATTGGCCTTTAAACAGGAGGTGTAAGAGTTTCTGTCATTGTAGGTCTTGTGGAATTGGGGCTGTCATACCAGAATGGGCAGAAGTTAGTGGAGGAGCCCCTTCTGGCCTGCAGGGATAAGAACAGAATGAGGATCAGATCTTTTTGGTGGCAGAAATACAAAGAGCCCCACTTGTTCTGTGGCTTGTTTTTTTTTCTCCCTATGGTTCATTTTCCCCAATACTTGCTGCTATAAAGACAGTGTGGAAAATGCCTTAGTAAATATTGTGTGTTATTTTAGTAGCTGGTCTTTAGATGAGACCTGCAGAGGCATTGCCAGTGCTGGCACTTGCAGACTGAGAGTTTTTTTTCTGTGTGGCTATGGACTACTTTTTTCCCTTTGGCCCTGCTCTGCACCTCCAGGTAGTCTCAGATTTCTTTTTCTCCCAAGTGCTCAGTGTTTGCAGTTTCTTCTTTGACTGGGTTGGATAAGACCCTAAATCTCCTATGTCCAACTTTTTTTAATCTGGCTGCTGCTTTGGTGACAAATAGGATTTTAGGAAATCTCTAGCCTTTCTAGGACTTCTGTCCCCATCGAGGCAGAAGCAGAATTGGGTTTTCCTAGACATGACTGCTTGCTTTCAGGCCTGCTCTGTCTCCAGTACCCCTCAGAGCAGGAGGATCCACCTGGGAGTTGCTTGTCTGCTGTATGAAAAAGGCTTTTTGTGATCTCTGGGGCTCTGGGGAAAACCAGCCTGAGCCAAGAAGCAGCTGTGTTTGTGGAGCTCTTGCCCTGCTCTGAGCTCCCCAGCAGGAGCAGCTGTTTGTTGTAATTTCTGGAGATTATTTTAGGTTTGGGGTATTTGACATTAAATGAATGCCCTTCCTGGTGACAGTGACTAGCCTTTTTGCAACCTGCAGATATTGTATTCTGCAGATGCTGTTTTCTGCGGTGTGTATTTAGGCCACAGCTTCCAATAAGAGATTTTTGTGCCTGGTAGCAGACCTTTGGATCCTCTGCCGTTTCCTGTCCGCAGCTCCTGAAAGCAGCCTGTTGGCAGCTCTCCCGCATGCAGGGATCTGGGGATGGGCGTGGGGATCCTCGCTGCAGAGGAGTGCAGCGTTTTCTGCCTCTGCCGTGTGTGTCTGCTCAGGGTTCACCAGCAGCATCAGGCTCAGCACATCATTGCTGCTGTTCCTTGGCTGGGGTTATCTGAGGACCTGGAGACTGCACTGCATAGGAAGCTCTGCAGTGAGACAGAGGGATGATAAACAGCCAGATGGATCCTAGAGTGTTCCTGCACAGGAATACTTCAGTTGTAAACACGCTGGTCCTGCCGTGACACAAGCCAGATTTGCTTGCCTTATATGCTACTCCTGGGAAAGATGGATTTGTTTTTCAGCAGTGGAAGGGGAATGTGATGACAGCATTTGCTTGCTCAGACTCGGTCTAATATTCTCTGAATCATTTTGTTCAGCAGCATCTTTAAACAGATAAAATGCTGGTTAAGCTTTCAGTGCTAGAAGGCACCCGCAGTGTCCTGCTTTGAGGCCCTCTGAGGCTGATGTGGTAGTGATGCCCAAGTGAATCTGGGGAGTAAGTGACCCAAAAAAGGAGGTGGGAGGGAAATCTGTCTGCCTGCAGCAGAATCTCTGCCTGTTGACCCGCTTCAGGAGGTATCGGCTGAGCTTTCTGTAGCCTACAACTTCAAAGCTTCTCCCTGTAATTTCCAGTTTGCAGGCTGTCATTAGTTAGCGATGGAAACTTGTTCACTTCTGGTTGTTTAGAAAAATAGTGAGTTCCTCCTTTCCCAGGAGAATGGGAAGGTCTCGCAGCTCTTTCTGCCTGCTCCACTCTGCTTTTGGGTCCTGAGTGGAAGCAGGGGCTGGAGAGCCAGCCTGGGAGTGCTTTTGCTGTTGAGGTGGCAGAAGTGGCTGCTGTGAGCTGCTTCTAGCTGTCCCTATGGAGAGCTTTGCTTTCCCAACAGATCCTTGCAGAACCAGCCTGGTCTGCTCTTAGCAATGCCATGACACCTGATAGGAGCCCAGGCAGTGAAGTGGGGTGGGTGGCAGGAATAGCTACCCGAGATGCTGTTGCCTGCTTCTTGCTGCAGAGTTCAGCAGCTTCGTAGCTACAGCAGGCAGTAAAGCCTTGGATATCTAGTGTTCGTGATTGCCTTCTTGCATGTAGCTCCAAGATAGTGTGCCTGAGCATCTGAGCCATCCAACTGATGCAGAAATGACCAGCTTTAGCCCCTCTCAGAGAGTGAGTCTCCTTTCACAGAAGTAGCCAGGGAGCTAGCTAGAAATGGAAATGCAAACAGCAACACAGTTCATGTTTGTGGCTGTTCTTTCTTGTTATAACAGGAACTTTCTGGTCTACTGCAAAGATTTGGGTGCTGACCCAAGGTGCATAAACAATCCTGGCAGTTCACAGTGTTGCAGGTGTGTTAAAGACTGTTTAGCAATCACAGCCTGTGTCTAACAACTCTTGACTAAAAAGAGGGTGGTATGTAGAGAAATTGGGCACATATTTTTTTGGAGAGGAAAAGAGATGATGACTACAGACTTGGGGTAAGGAACTCTTAAAGAAAGCACAAGGGCTGGAACAAACGCTCCTGTGCTAAAGGTAACCAATGCAAGGTATGTGGTCAGTCTGGAAAGAAGCAGTGTCACTAAGCACATAAATCTTGGATTGTAGATGTTCCCTGACACTGGAGACACCAATGCAACCTGCAGAGCAATATACTGAAAGAGCTAAGTCATTCTTGAATAAAACTGGCTGCTTCAGATTCTGGTATCCAGGAGTCTTAATCCTAAATGCCAATATCTTCTCAAGAAAGCTTCCTTCCCTTTTCTTCCCTTCCCTTGGCAGCAGCCTGTTTCAACCAATTTTTCTTTCCCCAGCTGCCCAACATGTTTGGTGACCTTCGTTCCACGTTCATTGCTCTGATGATTGGCTCCTATGCTTCCTCTGCTGTGACTTTTCCAGGAATCAAGGTGAGGCCATGGGATCATGACTCATGACTGGTGTTGTGCTGGAGTCTTGCACCATTTAGCAGTAATGTGGAAAGAAAGAGGGACTGTTTGTTAAAGCACTCTTAAGAGATGTGCCTTTGCAAGATTCAGTTCCTGTCTGTTGAAGACTTCCCAAGTGCCTGCCTCAAGAACTCCACAAATACTGCAAAGAGAACAGTCCGTTTGCTAATAGGCAGTAAAATTTTAAAGGTGTCAAGTAAAAGTGAAGAACTGAAGATCTTTTTTTAAAGGAAGGTTGCTTTTTTAAACTCTAAGGAGCATATATATGGATTTTAATACACATGTGTATACTTAATCTGTGTGATTGTCACAGGTGGTTGGCTTTGAACACTGTTCAGAGCTAGCAAACAGCAACGAAGGGATGGTCACTTGGGCTGCCTTGGTAGATCACTTAGTGGTTCTGAACCAGAGATGTTTCATTGCAGAGTTAGCATACGGGGGATATAGTAAAGGTAAGCCAGTCTCAAGTGTGCAGGGAAGTTCCTGCTGGCTTTCCAAGGAGAAGGTCCTAGATGAAAACTTTTGATGGCAGTCATCTGCAATACAGCTGCATGCTTTTCCAGTTGGAGGTCCTGTTGTTGTTGCTATAGCTGCTATTAAAGATGTGCATATACACCTCTTTCTAAGCCTGCCCGTCACAGACTTGTTCCTCATTACCACTTGAGTTGAACCCATTTCAATGTAGCATGTTGTTCTTTCCCACAGCTTCCTCTCAGATCTCATTAAAAGAATATTGAAGTATCCTTCTGCTCTTATAGTCAAAACCATATTCCCTTCTGATTTCCAGGTTATATATGACTTTGGGGTCTCCTTCATCCTTATTCTGCTTGTCTGGGCAAGCTGTGCAGGACTAGTTTTCCTCAATTGTTTCTTCAACTGGCCACTGGAGCCTTTCCCAGGACCAGAAGACATGGACTATTCGTAAGTGTCCACTAGACTGGCCTTGAGGGCTAATCCCATTCTTAATCCTCTAGAAAGTGATGGCACAACTAATTTAGAGGAGAGGACAGGGAACTCCCTTGCATGTTGTCTATGGCTGCCATTTCTTAGGCTGAGGATTTATGTTTGCCGTTAACATTATGTCTTGACTGGTGAACATCTGTGGAAAGTGGAACTTTCCAAAGCATAGGAATTATGAAGGAAAAATGATCTGTCAGTAGTCATAAGTATTTCTATATTGACCTATGCCAAATTGGCCTGGGGGAAGTATCTCTGTGCTCTGGATCCAGACCATTTGTGGCTTTGTAGATGGAAACTAGTGCCTTAGATCCACACATAGCCTTTCTGACTCCTGCAACTTTGCTGCCTCTGATTCCTCACCCTGTCTTGCAGCTCTCATGCTCTTTACTGTCCAACAGGGTGAAAATAAAGTTCAGCTGGCTGGGATTTGACCACAAAATCACTGGGAAACAGTTTTACAAGCAAGTAACAACTGTGGGGCGCCGTCTCAGCGTGGGGAGCTCCATGAAGGGCCCCAAAGAGCCAGCAGCCTTGCAAGAGAACAACAAGCTCTGTCTGTCTACGGTGGACCTAGAAGTGAAGTGCCAACCTGACAACACAGGTGTGGTTCCATGAGTGCCCCAAGGATGCTTGTGCTGGCACAAGGCTGTCAGCCTCTCTGCTCTGCTCCAGACCTGTTTATAAGAGAGATAACGTGATCCATATGTTGCCAGGGCCATGTGCCAGCCACCATTATTTAAATACAAGTTCAGTTATATAAGGAATCCTGTCCTTGCATACTTGCCTAAATACACCATATGGTGTTGCCAGTGGTGGGGACAACAGCATTGGTAACTGGTACGGCTGCAGAAGGGCAGTGCAGTTGGTCACTGCTGTCTCTTAGACTGTTGCCATCATGACCAAGCCTTCCTTACTCAGGCGTTTGGCAAAAGCAAATGGTTTTAAGCTTCTTTTTTGCTCTAATCTACAGAATGAGGTGAGTCTTCCTTCCTTCTCCCTTGCCCCAGCTACTGGTAGCCAAACTCCAAGCATCTATAGCTGTTCATTATGGAAGTTTGTAAGGCACCAGGTAGTCGCTAACTCTGAACTCCTTGGAACTGCCCCTGGCATGCAGTGTTGGAATGACTAGCTAGGAGAAGACCTGCTAACCCAGAGGCAATAGCTCTTCTGAAATTGTACATGTTTATGAAGGTACGTTGCCTTCTTCAGAGACTCTATTATTCCTTCTGCAGCTTCTCCCTCCTTCATGAAGAGCGTCTTCAGTCCTATTTTGTTGCTCAGCCTTATCACCATGTGTGTCACTCAGCTGCGGCTCATCTTCTACATGGGAGCTATGAATACCATGCTTGAGTTTCTGTCTGGAGATGAAGATCAAGGTAGGGTAACCTGAAAACTTTTATCTGCTTCCTTGGAACTGGGACCTGACCCAGACTTGGTCCTTGCAAGAGTCCAGCGAGCCTGATTACTCAGCAGATACTCAGTGTATGGCAATTAGTGGTGTCAGAGTGCGGCTGACAGCTGCTGGGAGGGTCTAGTGAAGGGCTGGACCTAGCCCAGGACAGAGGGGCAGTGAGGTAGACACTTGAATGTCAAGCTAATTTTAGGCTGGTGTCTGTTAAATACTATTCCATGTTATTTCCCCAGATGGGTTGTTGAAAGTAGCCTCTCAGGATGGACTGTGATAATTTTTTTTTTATTGGAAAACCTATTTCATCAGGTGTTTGCTTTGCTTATCCTAAGCAGGCACAAAGTACGGAGCAGCTGACTCTCATGACTAATGGTTGGACTAGGTGTCTCAGCCCAGCAGCCGGGGGTGGGAGAAATGAAGTCATAGCTGTTTTGTGCAGCTTGGTGTGTGCTGGGGAGACTCAGGGGTGCTCACTGCACTGGACTCTTCTGTATTTATAGCTCTGATTCAGTACATGAAGCAAACAGGAAAGAGTACATTAGTTTACTGTTGTTGAAAATACCCAGGATTGCAAAACAAGACTTAGCCTTTTTTTTTTTTTTTTGTCCTTTGTAGTAAGATCCAGTTTGAACTTGTTAAATCTGGATTGCATGAAGCTGATAAATCAAGAGGCACTCCTCTGAAAACAGGAGTGAGCTCTGGGGGAGGGAAGGAAACTCAGGAAACTCCAAGTGCCCTGGCATTCCCTGAATTGCTTTGTTTCTTGAGCCTTTGACAGCCTGCAGCATTCAGCTCTTTATCTCCTGGCTCAAGAGCCAATTTAGACATTAAACAGTAAACAGGACAAACTTCACACTGCCTACCTTTCCCAACACTGCTTAGTTTTTTGCTTACCTTGTAACTCTTTCACGCTGATTTTTTTTTTTTCTTTCTTTCTTTCTTTCTTTTTACCCTGGCTTGCTCTAGTTATTTCTCTTTCATTTTTTCCTCTCCTCCCCTCCTTGGTATTTTAGAATTAATATTAACTATATATGCTGTCAATTCTGTTCAGATCAAGCTCTGAATTAAAAAAGGGATTGTGCCCCTTGGGTGTATTGCATTTTTTTCTGTGCAATCTTTAAGATTTCTTCCCTTTTTCCCCCTCCTCCCCCTGAACATAGCCTGGGCTCCCAGTGCAGTCCGCTGTCTTGGTGTTTCCATGGCATCAGCAAAACAGTGGTATTGTCTAGTCGCAGCAGCGTCAGGCTGCAAGAGCAGTTCCAAGATGTGTGCAGCTCTCTAGAAATGTAATCTGTGCAGATCAGGAGAGGATGGGACGCTGCTCCCTTAGATTCCTTGTTCTTCTTGCAGTTTACTTGAATGTGATTTGTTTAGAGAGCTCCCTCCACCTGCAACTGCTCTCAGGAGCACTGAGCAAGGGAAGAAGAGAGTTAAGTCAATCCTGCAACCGTTACGGTCAAAGAAAACTTAAATATTCCTGGGAGCAGAACAAGAGAGAAGGATGTGGGGAAAATAATTCAGATAGGTAGTAGAGTCTTTAAGTTGCAGTGAGGCACTGTGTCCTTGAAAGTCCTCCTTCCTGTGCAGATTATGGTGACTTAGACCTGTCATGAAACCTAGAGGTGGAAAAAGCAGTCAGCTTGTGGCTAGTTATCTTCTGAAAGCCCCCAAAAGATGGGGGAAAAGCTAAGGAGTTCAGTAGCTCTGTAAATGACTGCATAATTGTGTTGTAGGAAGGCAGGAGAGAGTAGACCAGTTGTGTCTAGAACTTGAAATTTGGCTTCATCTTTCATAAATTGTCACCCTGCTTTCAAATCTGGTAAGACTTGGAGACCTTAAATATAATAAGGGTGGGCTGGAAAACTCAGCTGTATGAGGTACTTGCTCAATATAGTTTCGAGGGAAAGCCATGTTGAACAGTGGATGTAAAGGGTTGTGCCCATGTGTGCACCCTTTGTTTGCTCTACCTAGGCTTCTACTTCTGCTGGTATTTGCTAGGTATTGTTATCTCCCCCCCCCCCCCCAAAAGAATGTTTTTTAAGATGATAGATAAACTGAGGTGGCCCTGTTTTGTAGCAGCTACTGTCTCTCCTTTTCTTCTCTTGCTGACCCCATAAGTTTCATTCCATGCTTCAAGTTGGCTTCTGCTCTTGCTGTTTAGAGCCCAAGATTAAGTGTTCAGAATAGCATGAAGAGGCAAAACATGACAGCGTGGCTTGCTTCTTACCCTCTATTAAAAAATAACCAGACAACAGCAAATCAGCTCCAGGAGTGTTTGTAGAGGGTGATGCCACCTGTCTCTCTTGGTTACAGCAGTTGCTATAATGAGATGGGATGTGGGGCCACTTCAGGGCTTGCCTTTGCGGAGGTAATGGGGGCATGAATGCGAGTTTAGAGGTTGGAAGTTCCTCTTGGTTCCCTTGCCAGCAACCAGAGCCAGGAAAGTATCATCAGGTGCCATGCCTGGGTGCAGCAAGGCAGCCCTGCTGGGATTTGCTGTAACTGTACAGGAGGGAAAGGCTTGTTGGAAATGTCTTTCCATTACCAAGTTGATTTTTGGTATAAATCCTGGCTATACTGCTTTGGCTAGATCTAGAAATGCGTTGGGAGGGACAAACTAAAATTCTTTTTGGTTGTTTTGCTTACAGTGCTGTAACTTGTAAGCGCTCTGTGCTGAGATGAGCAGTTTCAGAATTACATCCTTATTTCAGAGCTGTGGTACACCATGACTCACCAGCCCTTCTGTGTGATGCATACAAATCCATCATGTGTGCTGCACAGAGGAAGTGGAAAAAGGATTGCAGGGTGGGGGAACTGTTCACCAACAGGAGGGGAGAGTTTCTTCTAAGTCTGCTGGCATCAGCTTTCCCTTAGCAAGCCATGTAGACACTTCACCCATCTTTAACACATGGGGAATTTTCAGCACTTTGAGTTTTTAATGATTGCTCTCACATGCTGTGTTTTTTGCTTCCAATCTGCTCTCCCCTCCCCTGCCTCCAAACTTGTCCGTTCAGCACAAAATGGGTTAGTCCTCACCTTCCCAGCCTGGCTTCTCCTTGCTGGAGCTTCCCAGCTGGAGAAGATGTAGCTGCAGCTCCCAGCAAGGCAGGAGAGGAGACGACTAAGGCAGGGTTGGCTGTGCAGGATATATTGTTTGTAAGAACTTTCCCTGTTGATCTGAGCCAGACTAAACTTCATTGGCACCAAGCAGTTGCTGGGTCCCATTTCTGAGCCCTACCTGCTGTTGGGCTGATGTTGCTCAGAGAATATTAGTGCAGGATCAGAATAGTTGAAGCAAGTGTGCCCAGTATGTCCACTCTAATGTCACGCCTCTGGGAGGCTAAATGATGAAGTGAGGCTTTGGTGTCTCAGCTCCTTCAGCCCTGCCTGTTAGCCTGTGAGTATGTGGGGTCTGGGCTCTTAATGAGAGAGGTGATCAATGGCGAGGAACAGTTTCTTTTCTGTCTTTTTTTCTGTTGCTTGCTGTGGTATCACTTGGACTAACAACTTTTTTAATCTTCCCCCCCCCCGCAGTGGCTCTCTACACTTCTATTTTTGGGGTATTGCAACTGCTGTGCTTGCTGACAGCGCCTGTGATCGGGTACATCATGGATTGGCGACTGAAAGAATGCAACGATGGCTCGGAAGAGAATGAGGAGAGCAACGCTGAGCAGTGCGTAGTGTTCGCCACGCGGGACATGCAGCCATGTAGCAGGCCTCTGCTCTGCATAATGTGTTTTGTGATGAAAGACTGAAAAGAATATTGGTTCTTCAGTATAGAAAAGAAAGCCTGAAGGAAGACTTGATAATTGCAGAGGAAAGGACCAAACTATGTTCCATGTCCACTAAGATCAGTCAAGAAGAGCAAATTTAAATTGTAGCAGGGGAGGCTCAGACTTCCCTTCTAGTCTAACAGTTAAGAGTAACAGCACTGAAATAATTGCCCAGATGTTCCTCAGCTTCCACTGATGGAGATCCCACCACTTCCTTAGGCAGACCTCTAGCCAAACTGGTTTAGATAGTTGACGGGATAGGTGGAGAATCTTGCTGTGAGTTCCAGTGGCTGCCGAGAGTGCTTTTTGTAACATAGGTTTTGCTATCCTTCCAGAAGTGACAAGAAAAAGAAAAAGCGTGATCGTCAGATCCAGAAAATCACCAATGCCACCAATGCCTTTGCATTCACAAATGTCCTGCTGGTTGGATTTGGAATCACCTGTCTTATTCCTAATCTACCGTTGCAGGTGAATAGGTCAAATGGGTGGGTGTGCTGGAGGGGCTGGCAACATGGGTCCTGGCAAAATGACAGGCAGGACAGTGCCAGGAGGTCCTGCAAGCCAGCAGAACCAGCTACTGGCAGGAGGGCTTTCTGGCACTGCTGGGAGACTTCTGTACTGCTTTGGGAACCCCAGTCTTAGAGTTGAAACAAATAATTCCATGCAGTTTACATTTCTTGAGAGAACCTAAAGAAGCAGCTGTAGTTAAAATGTCAGGGTTGATCCACAATTTTTTCACACTTAGAAGTTTCTGCAGCTGAGCTGTGTAACAACAAATACTTTTCTACTGAGATCCTCTCAGGAGCGCCTGTGCATTTAACCTGGGCTTGCTTTAAGCTGCCGATGGTCAGAAAATTTGCTGTAAGAAGCATGACACTGATACATACAGCAGGTTATTTCTGTGTCAAATGCTATGCCCAATGGTACCCATGGGATTATAAACCTGTTAAAATATTTATTTTGTGGCACCACCTGTTTTTGGCAGAGGAGTTTAGTGATTTTATGCTATACTTAAACATGCCTTGATGACGTAGGCAAACAGATGTAGTTTGCTCATACTTGCATATTGTCCACAATAACTTGTGGAAAATTAACTAAATTGGCCACAAGTGCAATGAAAAAGCATTGTGTCCCTGGCCACAGGTTGCTGGGGACGTGTCCTTGCAGCAGTGCTATCTACGAATGAGGTAGGTCTTGTGTGTTGTTAACCTCAGGTAGTACTGCATGTTAGTCTTTGCAAAGTACGGAAAAGCAGTGCTTTTAGAGATGAGTACAAATTTCTTCCCTTGTGTTGATCTTTCAGGTTTTGATTCTGGGTTCCTCAAGCCCACCTTTCTAGTGCAAAGGAGAACAGCTTTTAGGAATGGTTCTACGCTGGGGTCTGGCACACCTAGGTGGTATCTAGGACATGACATTTTTCTGCTTCTCTTTCCAGATTCTTTCCTTCATTTTGCACACAATCGTGAGAGGATTCATCCACTCAGCTGTGGGAGGCCTCTATGCAGCTGTGTAAGTCTCTGCTTACCTATAATACATGGCTGGCCAGATAAACTGGTCTGGGTTGATAAGCTGTGCAGGTGAGAAGGGAGATCAGGAAGTGAAGTATTGGTCAGAGGGGAAAAATGATGCAACTTGTTTCCTCAGTCACCACTGGATATGACAGTAGCTGGACTGAGGTCCTAGCTGATGCTTTCCTTGTTTAGAAACAGCTAACCCCTTTGGCATAGCTACTGCAGTGAGACAGGCACAGCTATATATGGGCCTCAGGTGAGACTAGGCTATCGACACTAAGGTTATATAGTAAAACCTCAAGGCTTTTTTGTCTTATAATGACTAGCTACATGCATGTGTCCAGGTAAAACATTAACATAATTGAATACATTGCTACTGGTCTGCTCTGAAATTACATTGGTAAAGCATTGCTCAAGATACCATTAGTGATGTCTACTCCCTTTTCCCAGGACAGATCATCCATCCTGTTTCCAACTTATGAAAATTATCAATAGCTGAATCTAAATAATCTCTTCCTTATTAAGCAATGTTTTTGGTTTTGAAAACAGATCTGCCCCTCTGTCCTGAGCTGTTGGACAGAGGAACAGAAAGAAGCTGTTATCTTTCAGAGAATCGCAGAATCGTTGAGGTGGGAAGGGACCTCTTGAGACCATCTAGCCCAACCCTCCTGCTCAAGCAGGGTCAGCTAGAGCAGGTTTCCCAGGACTGCGTCCGGTTGGGTTTGGAATATCTCCACGGATGGAGACTCCACAACTGCACAGATTCCTTCTGTCAAAAGTTTTGGTCCCAGTGTCTGGGGAATCCAGACTAGAAAACCCATCTAAGACTCTGCTTCAAAAGTACATAAACTTTTGGTTCCCTGGCAGCTAGAAGCAAAAGATTTTTGTCTTGGGCAAGGTAAATGCCTGTTGCTGTACATATCGGCTTGCTTGTAAACTAATCCTGTTTGGCCATTGCAACTCTCTGGAACTTCCTGGAGTGAGGTATTTTTGCTTTGAATGTTTGCTTTGAAATATGCTTTGCTGTTATATTGCTTTTGTCATATTGCTTTGTTTTGCTTTGAATATTTGAAGGTTTTGATCCATTTCTTTCTTTCCAAGCATAGTTTAACCTGACCCTTTTTAAACACTACTCAGTCGTGGAAAGAGAAAGATGTTAGACTGTTCCTGAAATTTATTTTTCCATTAGTAGTATCTGATATTCAGCACTTTCCAGTCAACAGTATTGTTTAGTTTGACATAGGATCAGACTTGTCCTCTAAAAAGGAAAATACATACTAACCTGTTGTGCAGGTTTCACTCACTTCTAAAGGGAGCAAATTGTTATGACCACATGAAAATGATTGCTCAGCCGCAAATGCTGTCATCTGGATAAAGAGGCCCTGCTTTTAACTTGTAAATATCAACACTCTTCTCCCTTTGCAATAGGAACAGTAGTTGTATAAGTGCTTCCACCTGTCTACGGTACAGCTGCAAAACAAAACAAGTACTGGATCTGATACATCCAGAGTTTGAGAGCTCAGGATGAGAATAGTCTGGAGAGGAAGGCTCCAGCCTTGTCACCAGCTGCATTCTGCTCTAGAGAGCACTGTGCACACCACTGGGTATAGCTAAATACTTTATAAAAAGAGGTAGTTACACATAAGTCCAGGAGAGATAAGTTCTTCATACTATGTGCCTGACTTGGGACTGTGCTCTGTTGTGTTAGTCGACTGGGAATGTAAACTGATCTGGGTGATGTGAACAGTCAAGGTGACATATAATAATGCTGTTGCTTTCTCTGTTGACAGATACCCCTCCACGCAATTTGGCAGCTTGACAGGGTTGCAGTCGTTGATCAGTGCCCTTTTCGCCCTTCTGCAGCAGCCTCTTTTTATGGCGTTGACGGGACCTTTGGAAGGAGACCCTCTCTGGGCAAGTTCTTCTCAAATTTAATGTGAAAGCTTGGTGGTTAAGATGATTTTGGCTCATTTCTTTGAAAACAAAAGGACTCCTGTGCATGGACCAAGGTTAAAAACAGCTGGAATTTTACATGTCCCTCAGTCTGCTGTTACCTTGGTGCTGTCCAGGAGACCCTTCCCTATGTGATTAATGATTCCTGGCGAGGGAAAGCCATTAACCCTTATGCTGGTATATGGAAATGGAGGAAGGGAGAAGGCTGCAGGAGTGCTTTCTGCTAACAGTTTGTGTGGTGAGTCAAAATCTGTCAGGTAACAGTGAGTGAATCTGTGTGGACCTCAAAATACAGTAGAAATACTACATTCCCTTGAGAGCTATTAGCTCCAATTACCAGTAAATTTGGGGTTGTTGATGCTAATGTCCGAAAAGCCAAGTGGCTATTGAGGGTAGGGCTAATGTAGTATCTTGATGAGAGTCTGTCTGGGCAGCTCAATAAAATCATGACATGGGTGGTCTTGGGGAGAGTTCTGGTCTCTAGGCTACATGTGCCCACCCCAGCAGCCTGTTGCTCTTCAGTCAGCAAACTTGGTGTAAAAGAACTGCAGCTTAAACAGCCCTGCCTGTTCTGTGGAACAAGACTCCTGCAGCCATGATCCAGAGCGACAAATTCTCGCAGCATTTAGCTTATACATGTGGTGCTCTGGGCACAGGAGTGTAAACAGAAATACAGTGGAGGTTGTTGCCAATACACTGAGCAGGGCGTCTCCTGGTTTGCCTGCAGCTGAGTGACGAGGGCTGGGTTCTGACACTTCAGCATGCGTGACTGGGTTGTCATCTTCTTAGCCTGCCTAATTTTGTTTTGTCTTTCTTTTTGCAGCTGAACGTTGGCTTGCTTGGTGTGAGCCTCCTGGGTTTCTGCCTTCCAATCTACCTGGTCTGCTACAGACGCAGGCTAGAGAGAGAAAAAAAACAGAAGATGGATGATGCCAAACTTTTCTTCAAAATCAATGGCACTCCCAATGAGGAAGCCTTTGTTTAAACTGGTGCTTCAAATACAACCTCCCCTGTACAGGTTCCTACCACATCTGTGGGTTCTACCTGTGGTGTAAGCCAGGCTTTTTCTCTCCTGGCTCTGCCAGTCTTTGCTCCTCACTGGAGTGAGGGCTGGACATCATGACTGAGCTTTCCTCAGATATACAGCAGGAGGAGACTTCCTTCTCCTTACTCCAGAACACGGGACACTTTTCCTTTTTATAAAGGCCATGCAGATATTGTGTCTTAAATTATCCCCTGATCACACTCTCCAGCAGCAGAGTCTCCGCATAGGAGATTGGAGAGAGAAGGAATAGAGGGATGGGGGAAGGGGGAAGAAAGACCATAATTTGAGTTTGCAAATGTAATGTGCTGAAGTCTGTTTTCTCCCCCTCTTCCCCCAACCTTGGCTGACATTGTCTCAGATGGAAGCTGCACTCTCCTCCCTCCCTGTGGCTTCATAATGGTCTTTCTGCTTGATGTGTAGATGGACCTAGTGGTTTTACTGTCTATCCAGACGTATCCCAGACTGTTTCTGAGGCAGGGAAGGGGATTTTATTCCTATGTGTATGAGCACAGCTTCAGTGTATTGCTAAATGTTGGCTGCTAGCACTGACAGCTCCCAAACCTTTTATTACTGCAAATGACACAGACCGTGAGCAATGGATCTGCCTTCCACACTGAAATGAAGAGCCTAGTGGACTGCTTGGTCGTTGACCAAGCCTTCAGAGGCCTGGAATTCCTCTTCTTCCCGGCCTGCAAACCACCTGTATGTGTTTTAAACTGTCTGCAGTCCTGGAACCTTTGAGATAGGAAGTGGATCTTGTTTACCGATGAAGTGCTTTGAGACTTTGCCTTTTGACTCTTCTTCCCTCCGACATGACCCTGGGAGGGGAGCAGCAGCGTGTGTTTAGTAAAGTGGAGAAGCTTCTTCAAGCTGAGTTCTGGGGCTCCAAACACCTTGGTGTTCACATGTCGTGAGCTGACTTGCTGTTGAAAAGAATCAAGGGTGCAGAACACTCCTTTGTGTCTGGTAACTGGATCCTGTGGACATATGGCAGGGTGATGTGGTGATGTAATTTTCCCCTAGCCATAGTTTATTTACATTGTTCTGATAACAGCCCCCAAGCTGCTGAACACCAGGTTACTGTGACTGACCAAAAAGCTGCCGGTTTGGCTGTATTAGGAGCCTTCTATGATGTTGATGCTCTGTCTGGACAGAGTACGTGGCGATTGATTGTATGGTAAAGCTGACTTACAGAGCAATACATGTGGGTAAAGGTGCCCCAGGCCTGTTCACCATGGAGGGACTACAAAGGGAATTCTTAACCTGCTTATTTTTATAGACATCTTATTCCTAAGTCTTGTCTAAAGTCAACTTTTCTGCCCTTAACTTTCTTGTTGAGGTCGGTAGCTCAGCCTCCATAGCCTTGTGACTAGCGTTAACCACTGCGCCATTTGGAGCTGCTCAAAGCAGGACTGTGCAGCTTTGAGGATGAACATCACCAGTGGGTCTGCAGCAGCATGTGTGCTGGGTTGAGCTAGTGGCTGCAGGAAGGTTGGGGGCAGAAATAAAGCAGTTATGAAGACGTAGTGGTGGTGCTTTCTGAACTGCCAGCTGCTGCATTACTGCAAAGCCTGGCGGGGGGTAAGTAATTCATCTTCTTTATGTCTGGTCGGAAAAGTACAAGACTCAATCACTGCCCTGTTAGCTCGAAGCTGGGGATTAGAAACAATAGTGCACTCGGACCTTCCTGTGAGAAATTACCTGGAAATTGGGTGTTAACTTGCTTTACTGATGGCTTGAAGCATGCACATGCTCAGCCCAGCCAGGCCTTCACCTTCCCTAAATAGCAAGCTTGGTGACCTCCTGCACAGAGCCTCGGCAGGACCGCTGGAAGCCTTGCGGAGTCCCTCGCTGGTGGCCTTGCCAGCCCTGGATGACGAGGCAGCTTTGTGGGACAGCAGCGCCATCTCGAGTCACTGCTTCCAGCCAGCCTCCTGCGGACGGTTCAGCTGCCACTCTGCTCCATGGTACCTTTTAGTCTTCAGTCACTCGTTTGGAAATGACTTGCCACTTGAGTATTTTACACATTTGTGGAATTTTTTTAATGTGTTGCCTTTATTAAATGTGTTTGTTCCAAGACAGCTTTACTGCCTGCTGTCAACACTTTACTCTTCTAGAACTTCTCGTCTTTTGTTGGCCTCTAGCTTTGGTGACGATTTAGTGATGTTTCCAGCTTTTGTTTCTTTTGTGTTGAGCAATAATTGAGGGGGCAGAGTTTGAATTCATTTTCCTGTTCACCTGGCATTGTCTCAAGTAAATACATGTTCAGAGACCCACCAGCAGTAGTACAGCTTGCCTAGATTTCCAGAGGGCTTACTGCAGATTTATGCATTTCATATTACTATACTTTCTCCTAAATATTTTGAGAAGATTCCTACTTTTGCTCCGAGGTATTTGTGACATGACAATGACAGATTAATTATCTTTTTTTTTTTCAGTAAGAGCTCAGACAGGTGAGTCTGAGCCACAGTCCTGTCTTAAAATAGAGACAGCTGTTGGAGAGTGTCAGTGTGCTAACTCAGCATTACCTCCACCTCAGTTTCAGAATATTGAATGTGATAGCTTCCACTCTTATGTCACTCAAATTCCTGATATAAATGTCTTTACAAAATGGTGGTATACTGAGTGGCATATTTTCATGAAGTCACAGTGGAGGTGATGCTGCCTTTGAAATATGTGCAGCTAAATTAAACAAAAACCCACCTTTTATTCCTGCTGTCTACCTCCCTACTGCACTTCCCAGTCCTGCCCTTTATTAGGAATACCCTCTAACCCAGTTTCACCTGATAAAGTGGTGGGTGGATATATGTGCTCTGTGTCTCTGCTGATGTGCCATGATGTTTAGAAGCTGCTGGTCAGCTGTGAGGAGTAGAGCTCATGCCTTTGAGTCCCAGTTTCAGGCTCTGTTTGCAGGTTGAGAGTAAGGTGTGCCTTTGGCTTGCAGTCACCAGGACTAGTGGGTATATGATGAAGTTTGAGTTGTTCAGGGTTGAACAGACAAACGGGAGTGCTTTCTCATGCAGTGCAAAGTCAAACTGTGGAATTCATTGCTGCAGAACATAGCAGGGAACCGAAGTATAAATGTTTTTTAAAAAGGGGCTGGTTAAACAATGGTCTGATGCATCCACTAACTCAGGGAGATTTTAAGTTGCTGTAAATAAGAAAGTTATGCCAAGGAAAGATTACTTTTCTACAAGCTCTGTCTCTTCAGAATTGATCAAAGATGGAGGAAATATATTCTGGGCTAGGTAGAAAAACTGACCTGATCTTGTGGGGTTTAATTTACTGACAGTTGTGAACCAAACTAATTTTAAAAGCAGTCTCAAATTCATCTATCAAAACCCCCTGTATCTGCATGCAAGATGTGCAAATACTCTACTGGTTGTGGCATAACTGCTTAAATGCTGCACCTTCTGCAGGGGTGAGCCCCTCAGAGGACGGAGTATTCTGGCTTCAGCCTCTTCTAAATGTTGTCTTGCATGGTGCAGAAACAAACCCTGTTGGGATGGTCCTGTTATGCATGATTGTTCATGGGCAGTTTGCCTTGTTCTTTGATGCTTATGGAAATGTAATTGTGAATTACTTAGATTTGGAGTGGAAAACAGCATTGCTGCTTTCTAGCTAAGTGATGCAGGACCAAGAGAATTCCTGATGTACTCTTCTATGTGCATGAGCCACCTTGTGGAAAAAATTAATGGGCTACCAAAGACTAGAGACCCACATCAATTTAAATCAATAATGTGTTTACCTGTATAGCTCAAATATAGGTCAATGTGTTTAACTACTTCTGTAATTCCTAAATGCTAGAATTTGTAGGGGGGGGTTGTGCCCCGTGTACCCCCTTACCCTCATCCATATGAGAAGTCCAAGGAGGGTGGTCATGGGAAAGACCTCATCTCCTCCACAGAAGCATCCCCAACTGAATGTAATGAAGCAGAAACCTGATCTGTGAGTACTTCCCAGTTTGTAGGAGCCCTCGGAGTCAAGGGTGTTGCTGTGTGAAGGTGATTGCACCTTCTGGAAACACTGCTCCTGGCCTCTACAGACTCTCACGTGCATTTAATATGCATCTGTATTTAAAAAAAAAAAAAAAATTAACAGTGGGGAAGGGAGGGTGACATCTTTTTCCTTTCACTAATCTGTCAGTACCTAAGCCCCATTGACAGTTCTTATAGCACTAATGCAATGATGCTATCAAAAGTAGCAGAGAAAATCTGTGCTGTTTTGCTTAATAGACACTTATAACTTTATTCAGTTACTGTCATAAAGTATCTGGATCCTTGAGATGTCTGTGGAAAAAAAAAAACAAATCTTGCTGAGACTCCCAACTTAACTGCAATGCTGCTACAACGATTGAAATGTTTAACTCCCACACCAAAGCCTGGCCTCTTCGTGCTCTGTCTACAAAGGAAAATTGTAGGATAATGAGATTTTAACTAAGTCAGTAAATCACTAAAATGTTTTAAAATAGGAGATTTTCCTCTTGACAGGCTGATGAATTTGGAAAATATGCCACAAAATCTAAAGCAGATACTGTAGGGTAAAAAGAATGAAATCTTTAAAACTACAACTTTTGTTAGGGTTTTTTTTTTTCTTTTGAGTTTTTTTTTTTCTTTTGAGTCTTTTCTGCATCTGCAGAGCTGTTGGTATTCCCTACTTCCCAGTTTAGACGTGCAACATATTCATAATGGAAACTAGTATTACAGTAGGATTCCTGATGGAAAGGGACTGGTCTTGGGGTTTTTTTTTTCTAAATTAAAACAAAACCAAAAAACTCCAAAACCTCACTTCTGATTGATATTTCACAATGTTATCTTCTCTGGAATAGCTGAAACAATGATGTATTATGTAGATGCATTCTTACATGTTAATTATAAACCCTACAGGTCCTTGTTTTTCTACCTGTGCTGCTCAGCCTGTCTCCCTGCAACCTGTTTTTATCAAGTGTCCTGTGCTCCACGTTGTCATCCTTCCTACTGCTGCTTGTCACTTCCTTGTGCCTGACGCTCTGTCACTTGCTTTTTATTCCTGGGACAATCCCCTTTTTCAGAAAGCCCCCTCTTTTTAACCTGATGGCATTAGCTTCTCCCACCTCCTCCTGTTAACAAAATTTTTTTGTAGCATTTGTCAAAGTTGAACTGTAAGCTCCTGGCAGCAGGCCTGTGTCATCTTTTCTGTGTTTGTAAGGTGTGCGTTCTTGCGATACTATCTAAAAATAAATGTGGTATTAAGTTAATCATTAGTTTTCCTTTTGAGGCTGAACATACTGAAGGTATTGCTTGGTTCCTTGCAAGACTATGTAAGCATGAATGCTTTACACAGTGTCATCTGCCAAAGTGCTTGGCTGCACATTGAATGTTTCCTTGACTCTTTCTTCTCTAAGTTAGGAGCTAACAGCCAGATTTTAATTAATCTCTGAGAAAATTTTGATTTTTTTTTTTTTTTTTTTTAATTTAGACAGCAGGTTGAGAAAGACAGGTCAAGCTCAGTTATACAGGGTGAACTGGTATCAAATAATGAAGGATGAACAACTGTGGCCTTAGGCATGCTACAGAAGAGGTGCAGCGTGTCAATAGGAAAGTTGCACATTGTGGTTATCTGTGCTTGAGCTTGGTGATGCTGAATGTATGGCATTTTATTTTTCCAATCAAATAAAGACAATCCTTGCTCTGTGATTCCAGTGACAAAGTAGTAAAACTAGTGCTCTTTAGCTGTTTTTTTATTGAGTCCAGGTCACATGAAAGGGCTTTTTGCAATTGTCTTCTAATAAGTAGCTGGGGTTATTCTTAATGCCAAGTACAGTTCAGGTGGCTGCTGCTTCTTGGAAGTAGTACTGAAACTGAAAGTGGACTTGAAAATGCTGTAAACCATGACCTGCTGTCAAGGTGGAGCCCCATTCCCAGAAGACACGCTTACCCTACCTGACTGCAGCCTTGATCTATCCCCTAGCTACTTCCGTTAATACTCATGTTGACTGACACAGAATCATTTAGGTTGGAAAAGACCTTTAAGATCATTGAGTCCAACCATCAACCATGCCCACTAAACCATGTCCTGAAGTGCCTTGTCTACGTGCTTTTTGAATACCTCCAGGGATGGTGACTGAACCACTTCCCTGGTCAGCCTGTTCCAATGCCTGACAACCCTTTCAGTAAGGAAATTTTTCTTAATATCCAACCTACACCTTCCCCTGCTGCAACTTGAGGCCATTTCCCCTCGTCCTATCTCCAGCCGCCTGACAGAAGAGACCAGCACCCACCTCACTACACCCTCCTTTCAGGTAGTTGTAGAGAGCGATGAGGTCTTCCCTCAGCCTTTTCTCCAGACTAAATAACCCCAGTTCCCTCAGCCGCTCCTCAGGAAGACTTGTGCTCCAGGCCCCTCACCAACTTTGTTGCCCTCATCAACCCTGCCTCTGCCAGCCCTCGTCCCCACCTTTCAAAAAGAGGGGGGCTTTCAGTCACCGACCAAACGTGCCCCAAACCCCGAGGAGCGAGTGTGTGGGTGTTAGTGCTGAGGAACGTGTCTCCCTCACGCCGGGCTGTGGCGGA